GGAACAAGTTGGACATCAGGATCGAACACATTGCGAGAACACGGTTACCCTCCCTAGATGAGGCGCCGCTGTGCCAAGAGTAGTGATTACTGAACCTCATGAAACACGAAAACTTCACAGAACAGTACAGTAAAGGGGGTTGCGTCCCTCTCGAGTACGCCCCAGGATGGAAAATGGACTTGGTCCGCCCATTGTTCCTGCCCGACAATCGTTTACGGTACAGTATCACGAGGAATACGCGACAGCGACGCGGATTAGAGGGGACGGCGACCAATCCCCGTCGACATGACGCGACGACCGAATGGGGAGGACGACATCGAACAAATATTGTCACAAACTTCACTTCTAAACATCACATTTGAACGAGTCTACACAACACCAGTATCAACACCACACCCAGCTCAGAACAAATCTCTCAAGACACTTCATATACTGCAACATGCACAGCTAGCCTACACCTTAGCACACTATCGCCGCAAAAGACGCCCTTGCGACGTGTCCGGTTGCTGGTAGTGTCTATGGTGTCATGAGCAGGCACCGCCTCCAGAAATCAACGAGCGTGCCCCGTGCACTCCAAGTACTTCCATCAAAGAACATCTGCACTTCATGCAGCGCACTCAAACAAGCAACTATCGCGGAGGGCAGCAAGCGCTACGCAGCCCAGCGATAGAAGTACGGACAAATGGAACGGATATAGGATGGATCCTACGGGTCGCGACCTTCGGTCACATCCATGACAAGACAAAACATCAGCGCAGACGAGTGATTACTGTCAAACAGAAGCAAAGGAAGGCTGGGAATGGCCGGACAAGTCAAAGACACAGAACAAATTTGATAGCTGTAGATACAAACCAGGGAGAGATCGCCCACCAGGGAGCAGACAGGAGGACAAGACTCGATAGGTGAACGGCCTGTTGACGCAGGACATTTCATGGTGGGGTGGAAGTCAGACCTGAGAGCCGGAGGTGGGCGGCATCGACCTTGTATTTTATAGCCGTTCGCTGCATAGCTGCCGGTAAAGGCGGCTGGGACAGTCTATGAATTAATCAATCAATCAATCAATCAATGCTATATCCCAGTACACGACGTATCCCAGTACACGGCGTATCCCAGTACATGATGTGTGCCAATGCAGGGGTTCCAGCACTCGCTGTATGCTGGACTAAAGACACTAGGACACAAAATACACTAGCTCACGCATACCGGCCCAGGTTCTGTCCCAGAATCTATTGTATTCTATGCTATTCAATGCTCCCGTCGCCGTTTTCGCGGCCTGTCTCCAACCACTTCTCTATCCTTTATTGCGGCCCATTGTGGGATTAAATGAATAGTCCTGCTCCCATCATCCATCACTCGCCTAAAACAGTTCTGTGGACGAAGCATTTGGTTCTTGCTACTAAAGACACCCAACCCGTTTCGCACATATTTCGCCGCGGCCCGCTGCACCGCAGACGGTTCTGCTGGGTCTACCTGCACCTCATGATGCGTCCTCCACTCCCCGTCCAGTAACAATTTGAACACTACGGACACTTGTTCTGTCTCGTTTGGCACAATCTACAACTTGTCAGGCCAGGCTTGGCTGCCATGAAACGAGTATCTTACCTGTTCGCTGTCCTGTTGCACCTCCGAGGTTTCCATCAGCTGCTCGGTAGCGGACACAGATGCCGTGGATGATCGTCGATCTCCTGCATTCCCTGTGTCATTTGATGCATTTGAAACCTCATCATCCGAGTGCAAAGCTTCCCACACCATGTGCTCCAAAGCAAGCCCGGTCTGTTGCCCGCTTGCAGCTCTACTCTCTTCAGTTTCGTCGCAGTCATCACTCCTTGCTATCTGGGCCACGTGGGTGCCTAGCGCCGGCGGCGACGGAGGCTGGACACCACTGTCCACTGAAGAACACTCCCCCTCACTAGCGTCTTTCTCGTTCGCCGCCGTCTCATTAAGCCTAGCTTGAAGCCGTTGCACTATCGCCTCCAGCTGCTCAATTTCGCTTCGCAGTGCTGATTCTTTGGCCATGAGCTCCTCAACGGCTGATCTATGCTGTGTTTCCACCGCTGCCATAGACGCAACCTGGCCCTGCCTGTCGTCATTGAGTCGGCCGACTTGCAATGTGAGGTCGGCCACCAGAGCTCGCAACCTTTCCTCCTCTGCCACTAGCTGTTCCACCTGAGGTGCCTCTTCCTGGCGCAAAGACGCATCGTGGTCAGGCATCCTTTCCTGGCTAGCGGTGCCCGCTTGTCCGTTCTCACTAGTAGTTAGCAGATCTAGTCGAATCTCTTCCCGAAGGTTTGCGCGCCTCTGCTCCAGTTCTGCGATTTCGCTTTGCCTATTCTGTTCGTCTGCCTGGAGAGTCTCTAGTCTCAGCACTTGTTCGACTTCTATCTGTTGCAGGCTGCTGAGCCTCGCCAAAGTGTCACGCTCCTCATCTCTCAGTGCCAGAATTCTCCTGTTCTGCGCAGTGAAATCATTTTGGAGCTGCTCAGCGTTTGCTGCGAATTGCTGCTCTTGCATGGCGAGCTGATGTAGTCTCGCTTCTCGCTCCTCGACTCTGCTTTGTAAGGCTTGTTCGCGTGCATCACCTCCTAATGTACGTGCCAATCTCTGACTTTGTAAAGACGCCACCGGTGATATCTGCTCTGGCAGGACGACATAGTCAAAGGTGTGTACGCCCTCTGTCACATGGAGATCAACAATGGGAATGTCAATGTCCTGG